ATCAAAGGGCAGTAGCTACAGATTCACAGGAATGCAGCCAATGTCAAAGCTAAATACATTAGTTTCTACCCTTCAGTCGTGCTTCTACTAAAACTCCAGATCGAACTGGGTGATCAATAAATCATGGGATTTATTTCAGTTGCTAGGTCTTCGCAGGTAAATTATTTATTTTCTAATGATTATGCTAGCTAGCTATGGATCCACACAGAATCTAGCTAGTTAGCTTAAAAATAGTTTACAAAATAACTTTACCAAATCGTTTTCGGTAGCTAGCATCAGACTACAACGTTAGTTATCTTCCAAAAACGTATTACAAAGAAGAAAAAAGCTTGTTACCTAGCCATAAAAGAAAGACATTTAAACTTACCCGCCATGACAGCTGGGCTTCTATGGTGGACATTGTGCAAGTGGTAACCTTGTAATCAAGTCGTGATTGACAGGTGTTTGCGCCAGACAACACGGCCCATGTGAGCTATACTGGTATATGAAAATCTCATCTGATTGGTTAGAAGAAACAGGTCCCACCTCCAAGAGCTCCTCTCTCTTTCTCATTTACATTTTAGTCATTTAGCAGACGCTCTTATCCAGAGCGACTTACAGTTAGTGAATACATATTATTATTATGTTTTTTTTTTTTCATACTGGTCCCCCGTGGGAATCGAACCCACAACCCTGGCGTTGCAAACGCCATGCGCTATCAACTGAACTACATCCCTGCCGGCCATTCCCTCCCCTACCCTGGACAACGCTAGGCCAATTGTGCGCCGCCCATGAGTCTCCCGGTCGCGGCCGGCTGCGACAGCCTGGATACTAACCAGGATCTCTAGTGGCACAGCTAGCACTGCGATGCAGTGCCTTAGACCACTGCGCCACTCAGGAGGCACGGTGCAACATCTACCAATCTTTTTGTAATGGTAGGGCGCTAAAGCACTGCCAAAAGTCTGAGTGCGCAAAATTGACATGCGCAGGTGTACAAATGCAATTATTGCTCGCAAATATTAAGTTACAAGTTTGCGAATGCAATTACAACTACAGATTTTATTATTTCATGTTCACAACTCATCAGTTACACACTTGCAAATTTGTGTTTACAACTATAAATATATTCTACAAGCTCCAAATCATTGCGTCCATGATTTACCTCCATACCTCTGCTGTAGCTACGTGACTGAGACCGATGTGATCAAAGCCTACAACATCATCTAGAGCTGTGTGGTGATCCTGTGTTGAGCAGTGTGGTGATCCTGTGTTGAGCAGTGTGGTGATCCTGTGTTGAGCAGTGTGGTGATCCTGTGTTGAGCAGTGTGGTGATCCTGTGTTGAGCAGTGTGGTGATCCTGTGTTGAGCAGTGTGGTGATCCTGTGTTGAGCAGTGTGGTACATTGCATTTATGCACCTCTGCTGTAGATGACCTGTGTTTGTCTAGCTCTTAAACTCAAGGCGCCATTCTGCCTTCTCCCTACCGTTGGCAGACATTCTGCCTTCTCCCTGGCAGACATTCTGCCTTCTCCCTGGCAGACATTCTGCCTTCTCCCTGGCAGACATTCTGCCTTCTCCCTACCGTTGGCAGACATTCTGCCTTCTCCCTACAGTTGGCAGACATTCTGTCTTCTCCCTACCGTTGGCAGACATTCTGCCTTCTCCCTACCGTTGGCAGACATTCTGCCTTCTCCCTACCGTTGGCAGACATTCTGCCTTCTCCCTACCGTTGGCAGACATTCTGCCTTCTCCCTACCGTTGGCAGACATTCTGCCTTCTCCCTACCGTTGGCAGACATTCTGCCTTCTCCCTACAGTTGGCAGACATTCTGCCTTCTCCCTACCGTTGGCAGACATTCTGCCTTCTCCCTACCGTTGGCAGACATTCTGCCTTCTCCCTGGCAGACATTCTGCCTTCTCCCTGGCAGACATTCTGCCTTCTCCCTACCGTTGGCAGACATTCTGCCTTCTCCCTGGCAGACATTCTGCCTTCTCCCTACCGTTGGCAGACATTCTGCCTTCTCCCTGGCAGACATTCTGCCTTCTCCCTACCGTTGGCAGACATTCTGCCTTCTCCCTACCGTTGGCAGACATTCTGCCTTCTCCCTACCGTTGGCAGACATTCTGCTTCTCCCTAACCGTTGGCAGACATTCTGCCTTCTCCCTACCGTTGGCAGACATTCTGCCTTCTCCCTACCGTTGGCAGACATTCTGCCTTCTCCCTACCGTTGGCAGACATTCTGCCTTCTCCCTACAGTTCGCCCACGACTGACTCATGTGAACTTCAATCGAAACGCTGTGTTTTAACATTTAGAAACGTCAATAATCCCCCAATAAGATGGTGTGGCGGTCTGGCATGGACACCCCCCAGTAAGATGGTGTGGCGGTCTGGCATGGACACCCCCCAGTATGATGGTGTGGCGGTCTGGCATGGACACCCCCCCAGTAAGATGGCCACCATCATAGAATATAATTACTAGAAGGGGCGTAGCCCATCAAGTTTCTTACACCGCTCAACCAAATGCTTTCTTGCAGGTTCGTTCTCGACACTGCAACAACAATAAGAAATAAGTGAAGAGAAGAACACGAATAGAATAAAGGTTTTAGCGTAAGTCGTAGGAAACAAAGCAATAATTAACGGCGTAAAGCCAAGTCTAGCAGGAGCCGTCAGCACCGCCATCATCGCCCTATCAGACAACAGCAGTTGGACTGCACCATCATCGCCCTATCAGACAACAGCAGTTGGACTGCACCATCATCGCCCTATCAGACAACAGCAGTTGGACTGCACCATCATCGCCCTATCAGACAACAGCAGTTGGACTGCACCATCATCGCCCTATCAGACAACAGCAGTTGGACTGCACCATCATCGCCCTATCAGACAACAGCAGTTGGACTGCACTATCATCGCCCTATCAGACAACAGCATTTGGACTGCAACCATCATCGCCCTATCATACAACAGCAGTTGGGACTGCACCATCATCGCCCTATCAGACAACAGCAGTTTGGACTGCAACCATCATCCGCCCTATCAGACAACAGCAGTTGGACTGCACCATCATCGCCCTATCAGACAACAGCAGTTGGACTGCACCATCATCGCCCTATCAGACAACAGCAGTTGGACTGCACCCTCGTGGGTACACTAATGTAATTCATTCTAATTTCTGTGGTTGTGCTCCCTTCCTGTGTTGTGCAGCATGGCGACCCCCAGTAAGACCCCGCCGGGCTCTGACCCCAAGCAGCTGGAGAGGACCGGGACAGTCCGGGAGATCGGCTCTCAGGCTGTGTGGTCTCTGTCTTCATGTAAACCAGGTGAGTTCAGTTGGATTCTATTCATTAGTGCACACCGCAGCAAAATGTTTTGCAAAGGTAATGTAAACAAGAGTTTCTTAATGGACAAAACCTCCCGGATTCAGTCTGTTTGTTGTCTGATGAACACAACCCTGGCGTTCTCTCTCTCTCCTCCTCTCTGATGAACACAACCGTGGCGTTCTCTCTCTCCTCC